GCCGATGGGGGTCATCTGGCCGACGAGGGTCCCCCCAGGTGGTCGTGGTACCTTCTGTTCTTCCGAGTATGTGGGCTTTGGGGTCCAGGCCCATATACTCCATCAGTTCCAAAAATGAAACATGATATATGTATACCATATTGGATGCCTTGTAGTTGAGAGAGTGAATGTGAATAATCTCTATTAAAAAGACTAAAAATTGCTAAATGTTGTTCACTTATCCTTCCCAAAATGAAAGTCTGAGTATTCCATTTTGGGTGTCCCAAATTAAAACTCCCATTACACTTTTTGATTAAAAAACTACTATGTATTAGATAAAATTCCAAATTGACCTTACAATTTTAAATCTACAACTTCAGCTTCTACGAATGTTTTTAGTTGGACTGAAATTTTCTGGTCTGGTCTAATAATATAGTCTAGTTTGTTTGAGTACGTTCTGGTGTGATCCGGTAAATATTTGTTCTATGTATATTTTACAACTATCGAAGCCAGTTCTGGTCTAGTCTGATCTAGTATCATATAGTCTAGTTTGATCTGGTTTGAATGGGGCGAAAGCAATCCAATTAAGAACATCTTAGATTCATTTTTCTTGAAGAAGGTAAAAGCAAAGCATAATTTAGGAGTTTTTACACACTTTGAATTCTTAATCTTTGTTTTTGATGAGACTGGATTTGGGTGGAATGAGTAATATGTGAACATAAGCTAATTAAGCCGGCACATCTTGATGAAAAGCAAAAAGTATGAATTGTTCTAACTTTTCATCCTTCGTGTTCACATGCATATAAAGAATTGAAGGAAGACATGAACCCAACCCAGAATAAAATGGGGGCAAGCAAGGAATGTAAGTGGCTGAAGGAGCCTGCAAGGAAGAAGTGCACAGAAATCCATGACATGGCTTCTGTCAATTTGTCAATTTTCCAACCCCTAAATTTCACACTTCCACTCTCCCTCATTTCTTCTTCTTCAAATTTACTCCACCTCCTTCTGCCCAATGAATAAAATTCTTTTTACACTGTCAATATATGAAATGAATGAGATTAGTTTAATCATCAAGGAAAGTAATTACTATTATATACTGTAAGTAAGCATCAAAGTTTCCTAGTTATTGCATTAAAGACAGGCAAGACATCTTACTTTGCATTAATAATAAGCATTAATAATAAGGTAGGGATATGTTTTATCTTTTCCACTGGCAAAAAAATTACTATAGCAACAAAAGTTAAAAAGCTTCCAGAATAACCGCATGGTTTTCTGTCTTATGATGATGATGATAATGCTTCCTGGCAGAGCTAGCTGTGCTTTCTTGCTTTTAATCTGGGTATCTCTATCTTCTTCCCTCGCCACCTTCAACCTCTCCCACCCTCATCAACACCCCTTTCCTGATATGGTAGCTCAAGAAGTACAGAGGTAATTAAACTAAAAAGCTTTCTGATCAGGCTTTAAACAACCTGGATTTCGCACATTTTAAGTGTTTTGTGTTTTTGTTGAACAACGTACGGACTGTATACTTCTCTGCTTTCCTATATTTCTCCCAGTTATTTGTCAACTTCTTTAAGCTGCGAGAAGGTGTTTATTAACTGGATTTCTTTTTGGGTTTTAAAGATAAGGAAAAGATAAAAACTTGTTTACTAATATGCTATGCAATTATGCAATACTTAGCTTCCATGTCTCAAGTTCAATCTCTATTTGATGTAGTGAGAGTTTGTTCAATGTGATTGACTCCTTGTGCGAACCAAGTCTTAAATAATCCCACTCAATAACCATTTGAGATATGATTTATCCTCTACCCTTTAGTGTTTGGTATCAACTATCAAACCTTGAATAACCTTACTCAAAAACCATTTGAGATTTGATTTATCATCCATCATTCTATAGTGTTGGGGTATGCGAGCACTTGCATGAGCGTATTTTATCTTTTGGATTTGGATAAAAAAAAAACTTTCATATCTAAACTTAAAGCACTAGCTTCCTGATATGGGAGAAAAAATATGAAGCACACGAGCGTACTCACTAAGTAGCATGTTGGCGTGATGAATGGTACAATTAGTGGCGGATTTTGGATTTCGATTTTGAATGTTCAATTTTTTTCACAATTAAGACTTTACAGAATTATAATAATTACACTATAATTGCATTCCTCCCAAATTTTTAGGTTTTCATGTGCCCTTGGGTACAATCGAAATTCTTCAAATATTTTAGATGAATGAATTTTAAGCACTCATCACGCCATGTGCTCCTTAATCGGTATGCTAGCATGCTACATTCTCTGGTTGATATAGCAGTTCTCAACAAGGTACGATGGGGTGTTATCTTCTTTTTATATATGACCCTCCAGATTCGGGACCACCGATTCATCATAGAACAATTTCTACTAATTAATATCCTCACCGTTTCTAGTTTTCTAGTATTAATCGTTCCTCGAAAAGGTTGAATCTTCAACCCAAAGGGTCCGCATGCCCCAATCTGACAAGGCATATGGGAGGATGTAAATCATGGTGACTCAATCAGTCCAATAGTGATAGATCTTATACTCGTGCACACCAGAGGTCCAGTCCAACGAGCAGAAGCTGCAACCTCCACATGGTTGCTGCGGATTTCGCACCTTGGTCATTTCTACCATTAATCGTGACTTTGCGAGTCAGGGTTATCTTAATTAATTTTTTAGAGAAAGGCCATGTGCTAATTTAAAATTGTTATTTCTTGCAGGGTAGCAGATGACAAAAGTTATAAATACCCAATTTTATCTAATTAAGTATAGGATACAAATGTTATCATGATCATAATATCAAGTAAAACACCACAACTCTTTTTGATAAAAAAAAAAAATTGTAACTCGTTTTACCAAAACTTGAGGCTACTATTTTTCTTTTGCCACCTACCGTGCAAAACCGATTATACTATTGTCTCTGTGTACTATTGTACTACTACCCCAAGAGGGCCCAAACATCTTCATAGACTCATAGTTATTACTTGTTGATATGAGCTCAGTCCACCCCAAATTTAATACGGAGTAAAACTTTTAGTTTGTGTGTAAATTTATTGCTGGTGCCTATGCCCTTGACCACCTCCATTGACCATATATACCATTACATGAGTTGGTCATCGGTCATCACACAATACATACTACCTTCATCCCGAAAAACTTTACCTTTTTAAAAACTTTGGCCGACTATATCTTTTTATTGAAAATTATTTATAATATAAAAATTATATGAAAATGTTTTTTTGTTAAAAGTATTTTATAAAAGTATAAAAATTATGATTTCCATAATATTATACGTAGTACTAATCAAAATCAATGTTAAATTTTTTTGAAATAACAAAGTTTTTTGGGACGGAGGTAGTATGACATTATTGAAAAATAATAATTTTCCAAACTATAACCGAAATATATAGAATAAAACTAATCAAAATCAATGTTCAATTTTTTTGAAATAGCAAAGTTTTTTGGGACGGAGGTAGTATTATTGAAAAATAATAATTTTCCAAACTATAAACCGAAATATATAGAATAAAACTTGAAAAGGAAGGTACAGTTAGACACGAGTTTTAAAATGGACATACTATTTTAATAAGTTTTTCGATGTAAAAAAAACAAGTCACAAATTAAATGATCAGGTACAAGCGGAGTACCAAGAACCACGAAGGCATGAAGATTGAAGATTGTATTATACTCCTTATTATTAACATTTACCAAGATAATGCGCCGCACATGATGCCACGATATGTATCCAGGATGGCCCAAGTTCGATTCACATTCATCATAAAATAGTTCTAATCTTACCGACTCCATTTGGTAACATTGAAATTGCCTGAATAAATATCCAATTAATTTGTTGAAATTGATGAAATTCCGAATGAACTAGGTGAATTGGTTGAATTCGTCAAATTATGGAAAAAATTATATTTGCAATATACTTTACTCGTGAAATTAAGGGAAAGAAAATGATATTCAAAAAACTATATAGCTAAAATGATCTACTAAAGTAATTTCAGTCAATTCAGACAAGGTAGTAAATTCAAGCCTACTTATTCTGATTATTGCATAATTGAATGCGTGAAATCTAAATTTGTTTATTTGAAAAAATGGGTTACCTAAGAGGCTCTTATTCAATGATAGTTGCTCAACAATTTTTACTATTGATGAGGTTACCTGTACGTGTTTACGAAATCTAAAAAATTATACTCCCCCCGTTCTCATAAAACTTGGCCAAAGTTGACTTGCATGAGAAATAATAAAGTAAATATTGTGTGGTTGAAATTTGTATAGAAAAAGGAGAAATAACTTTAGACACATATTTGTTACGGAGTACAATAAATGAAAATGACAAACTATTTTGGGTCGACCAAAAAATGAATTTCGGACATGTTTTAAGAGACGGAGGCAGTAATAAATTTTGAATTAGATATATTGGTGTCGATAAAAGTTGAGGTGTTTGAAAATATATAACTTATTTACAAAAATATGATTAAGTTACTGCTATAATCACTACATTTTTTTGTAAATAACAACTATTTTGCTCATATATGTAATTATTTCATGAAATATTAGATCGATTTAAATGAACTTATTATATGTCTAATTGATTGATTATATGGATATTTTCATCTGGACTATAAACTACGGAGTAGATCATATCGGAATGTTTTCATACAAATCAAAACCGTAGTGTTTATTTAAATCTAATACTATATAACCGTAAAAAATGTGATGAACATCTTTTTATACGGTTATTCTCGGAGTATATACGGAGTACTTCGCATATGGTAAAAGTCTACTATATACATGGAGTGTATTTTATTATTGTTGAAATGTAGTCTAAATTATTTAAATCTAGATTGATTTTGTAATCAAGTTGCAAGTCTTGTAACACATATCTCCCTTGTTTAATTTTCTTTTCTTTCAACTTTATTGTCAAACATGTTTTAGTCAAAATTTTGAGAACTCAGTTCTAATCCTGCAACTATTTAACCGTAATGACTTCAAGATAGACAACAAAAATTGTCTATCATATATATTAGTGCTATTTAGGAATAAGTAGTAACATTATTACTTTAGATTTCCAAAAGCCATTTATTCATGTTTTGGGACTTTCACTTTTTTTAAGACCAAGTATGTTGTTATTGGCTTATTGCCGTGCCGTGTCATCTTTTAACTACGGATCTTGTTAAACGGCTTAAACCCGGATTTAACAAAGTTACGTTTGTTAATTTAAAAAAAAAATGCGTTTGTTTGGGATTATAAAAATCACAACACTTCTGGAATTAAATAATTTATTGCTATCATTTCGTTTCGATTTGGGACGTAATTTGACAAATAGTTGGTGTGCTGTAACCAGGAGACTTCATGAATCGGTAACGAGGAGAAGAGTCTTAGAGGCGACGGCAGAGACCCAGCAATGCCTTACCGGAAACCCGATAGATGACTGCTGGAAATGCGACCCCAACTGGGCAAACAACCGCCAGAGACTGGCGGATTGCGGCATTGGGTTCGGAAAAGCCGCGATCGGCGGTAAAGGGGGGCGATTCTACACCGTCTCCGACCCGTCGGACGACCCCGCGAGCCCGAAGCAGGGAACTCTCCGCCACGCAGTGATTCAAAACGAGCCGCTCTGGGTCATATTCGCGGCCGACATGACCATCAAACTCAAAGCACAGCTGATCTTCAATAGCTTCAAGACCGTGGACGGTCGCGGCGCCGCCGTGCACATCACCGGCAACGGCTGCATAACCGTAAAAAATGCGACGAACATCATCATTCACAACATCTTCGTGCACAACTGCCTTCCCTCGTCGAATGAAGTCATATGCTCGACGCCCACAAAATGTGGGAGTAGAGGCAGAGCGGACGGCGACGGGATCACCATCCGTAGTTCTAGTCGGATCTGGATTGACCACTGCGATTTATCGAGTTGTACGGACGGTTTGCTTGATGTCACCCGGGGCTCCACCGCGGTCACCATCTCCAATTGCTACTTTTCCCACCACGACAAGGTCATGCTGCTCGGTCACACAAATGGGTTCTTAGCCGATTCCCATATGCAGGTACGTTTGACTTTGACCGTTTGACGTAATAATTATAAAGTTATCGAGATTTGAGCATAATAAAGTAAAATACGGTGAATCACTTCTTTCTTTTCAAAAAAAAATGAAAAGTAAGACATGTAAAATAAGAAGAGAAATTATATGTTATATATATAGACAATTTGACATCACCGTGCATGGTTTTAGAAGCTGACAAAAATATGGTGATGATATTACTCTGTGTCTCTGTGTATAATTTAATCTGATCAGTGATGGATTTAGGATGTTTTTACTTGGACTGTAATTTGCTGGTTTGGTCTGGTCTGATCTAGTCTGGTCTGGTCTGCTCTGAACTGGTCTGGTCTGGTCTGGTCTGGTTTCTTTGTATTTTTATAACTATCCAAGTCTGGTCTGGTCTGGTCTGGTCTGGGACGAATTACAGTCCAAGTAAAAATATCCTTAGAGGGCACGAGGGTGACCCCCCTTGGGTTTTAAGAATTTTGTACTCCCTCCGTTCCCTAATTAAGTTCCTGGTTTGACTTCACACATATTAAGAAAATAAATTTGACTTTACTGTTGAGTGCACTGTTTTGCACTGTTCAATCACTGTTTGACACTGTTTGGCATTGTTTTGCACTGTTTGACACTGTTTTGATGTAGATAATTTGCCGAGTAAGGAAAGTAAGGAAGTGTGAACTTAATTTATGGACTGTCCAAAAAGGAAAGTGGTAACTTAATTGGGGGACGGAGGGAGTATTATTTACACCATATTTTCATTAAACTATTTTGCTTTAAATACATACATATGTTCTCCACCCTTAATTTTATTTTACAAAACTATTTTATAGTGTTATATACTCCCTCCGTCTCGAATTGAATTGCAAACTTTGACCGGCACAAAGATTAAGGAATAACAATAAATGATGCTTGCTTATTTTAAAGTAGATGTCTTTAAGTTAATGGGGAAAAAGTAAAAGTAAGAGTAAATTTGTCACTTTATTCTTATTTACATACCTAAAATAGAAAGTGGAAAACCATTTTGGGAAAACCAAAATAGAAAATTTTGCAAATCAAATTAGGACGGAGGGAATATGATACAATACTTAATAGGCATTGTATAAAAAGAAAAATCTAAAATAGTTAATCTTAATGGAATGTTTTTGTTAAGTTAAATTTTTTCTTTGTGAACATCAATAATGCTATTAATTTCTATAATTGAATAAATAAATAATAGAAGAACTCATTGAATTATAATTTATGGTACTTTAATTATTCTATGAACATACAATGTTAAGTTTAATTTATATTTAATTGATAACAAGTACCGATTTTATAAAATATCAAGCAATATTAAAAAACGTATTAGACACTAATTAAATAGTTTTCGGATAATATGGAATAAATTCAAAATATAAATGCTCTTGTGATATGAAATTACACTCATTTAGTTTCTAAACTTTTAAAAATAATTTATTGCATATTTAATAAACTCTATGACATTCTAGCAAAAATACAAATACATTTTGTGCAAACTCTATGAGTTAACAATATAGTATTATTCTAAAAATTAATAATCACATACATACTATTGTAAAATTCAAAAGACTCAATGTGACTTCTAGCGCTCATGTCAAACAAAAAATGCATAACTTAAGAGTTTTATTCATTATTTTCATAAGAGTTCTTCAGCTAAACAAGACAAAAATTATTTAAAAAGTAGAGGTAGATTTGAATCCAAGAGGCGCGCTTTATGTTCAAAAAACTTGACAAAATTTTAAATTGTTTTAATATACCAATACCCTTTTTATAGCATTTCAATTAAAAATATGAGTTGATTTTCTCATTGTACCTGAAGATGTAGAGTATGAAATTTTCAAATGTTGGGTAAACGCTAATGAATTTTTTTGAATAAATACTAGGTAAAGTTTTATGCTAAATAAAAAAAATTCCACCCCTCTTGATCATAATTCCTGGATTTGTCCCTCTATATGACTTTGTATAAAGTACGTTGTGTGCTTTAGAAAATGATGGGCGTGGACAAATAGAGTAATTATTACGTAGTATTTTTTTGGTAAAAAGAGTAATTAATTTTGACAATGAAGGTGACAGTGGCCTTTAATCACTTTGGAGAAGGTTGTGTGCAAAGAATGCCAAGATGTCGAAGAGGATATTTTCATGTGGTGAACAATGACTACACGGAATGGAAAATGTACGCCATCGGCGGCAGTGATAACCCCACTATCAACAGCCAAGGCAATCGCTTTATTGCACCTAATGAGGATGAATTCAAAGAGGTAGTCCATACTACATACATAATTACTTATCATTCCATAGTGAATACAATGTTAACGATGTGTCAAAAACACAATGTTAACACAAACAATCGAACAACTTTTTTTACCTCAAGGGAGTGAGGGTAGGGGCTGAATGGAGCATGCATAAATAGGGTTGAAACTTCCTCCATCAAGTTTCAAACACGAGAACTCTTTTTTAAACCTAAGTTTCAAACCTGTATAAATATTCATGATACACTAGTGATTAGAAGTCTATATTAGTGATTGGGTGAATGAATTTTGTGTTTGTTTTTGTTGTTGGGCGGGCGGGCATGACTAATTAAGGTGACAAAGCGGATAGATACAAACGAAAACGAGTGGAAAGGATGGAATTGGAGGACGCAGGGGGACATGTTGGTCAACGGAGCGGTCTTCGTCCCATCCGGCGACGGTCTGAGCAACATCTTCACTCAGGCCTCCAGCCTCGACCCTCACTCCGTCCTTTTCATGGACCAGCTCATCACCCACGTCGGCGTCCTCCCTCTTCCCACTGGGTACGTAGATACGTTTTATTATATTATATTGCTTCCCTCTTATTCTTTTAGTTAATCGATAGCGTAGCTCACCTGATAGAAACTGAATGTCATAAAAGAGAGATTCTGAGTTCAACTGTAAGCAATGACTTGAGATGGAACTCACTTTCACTCTCTTTTCGAATGAGATCAAAGTTCAACTCACGTTTTCCAAAATAATTGTTCGGTTAGTTGTGGGGGCCCTAAGGGATGGAGGATCATCCTTTTTTTTTCAATTACTTAATTAATTACACTTACCAACTTAACCTATAAAAATGTCCAAACATATTGACATATATCGACATATATACAAATACAAAACATTAATTTATGGCTCATATAAAATGGTAGAAGAGAGATGCATATTATTGATTCCATTAGTAGTACTACTAATTTATTTTTTTCATTATATTTATGTAGTAAATATGTTATCTGATTGGGAAGGTAGTATACCCTAGGGTCAGTTTGGTCGAGGGATTTTGAGGGAGAGGGAAGGGTAGGCCTGATTTTTTACTTTACTAATTATACAGTTATAGTAATAACTACGTAGTATATAACTAGTTAGGTCATGTATTTTTATATTCTATTTTATGTTTACTTTGTCTCAATTTCTCTAAATGTAAAAATTATTTTAAATATAAATATGACATTTCCCCTCCCGTCTCCTCCGAAACCCCTCAATCAAACTGGCCCTAACCCCTCAATCTAAAAATTATTTTAAATATAAATATGACTAGTCTGTTTTTAATGTTTAAATAATTTTTCTTCATTAGTAATATAGAATTTTTTACCCTCTATTACGTGTATGCATCTCTAATTTTTATGAATCTTTTGAAATGAGTTTTGCGTGTTCGGTTAGCAAGCATACATTGTATATTTTAAACTATTTCAATAATTAAGCTTATTTTAGTAATCAGCATGGATAATATCATAAACTTTATTAAAGCCTTGCTTTAGTAGGAGCTTCTTTTTTACCAGTGGATCGGGGAGGGGGACTGGGAGGTCTTGCGTGTGTATTTTTTAAAAATAATTCATTAATGCTCGTTTTTAACATAACTGAAAACTCTAAATAATCAAAAAAAAAAATTGACATAATATTTTGAGCATTTGTAATTACCACATTTTTTATGAAAAAACAATCTTAAATGAAATGAACCATGTAGCTAGATATGAAATGCAATTCAATTGGGTTTGAAACCTGACAACTGCGATAAGATGTTACTACATAAAAATGCATAGGGCCTCTGCAAGTACTTGAACCAGAGTCTCACTTGTTATCTGTCAGTTTTGATTAAAATTTAATTTACATCCTATCACTTAATTGTTCTGACGATATTGGGGTCATGAGGGATGAAGTGTTATCCCTAAAAAAAAGATGACACCCCATCCCTGAGGGCCTCCCAACCCCGATCGGACGATACGTTGAGAGAATGTAAATTGGACTATAATCACAATCTAACAGATAGAGAGTGAGGTTCTATCCCCGGTACTTGCAGAGGCTCTATGCATTTTTAGCATAGTAACCACTCATCGCAGTTGTCGGGATTCGAACCCATGACCTAACCCTTGTGGCACTCCCTTGCTCCCAGTTGAGCTACGTCCACCGCTATGAAATGTTATCCTTTTTTTATGAAAAGAAATTCAATTTCCACTATAATTGACATTCTACAGGAATAACCCGACGCATGTACCTTCTTCTAGCGGGGCAATACCTGTACCTTCTGATGGCGGGGCAGCGCCTGTACCCTACGGTAGTGGGACAATACCTGTACCTTCTGATGGTGGGGCAATGCCTGTACCCTACGGTGGTGACGGTGGTGGGACAACGCCCGAATCCTATGTTGGAGGAGGGACAACCAATTTCGCAGACAACCACCAGAGTAGCGCTCCGTGTGCAGTATTATCTAGAGCTATTGCAACCAATCTTTTCTTGTCGTCTCTTCTAATTATCCTAAACAATTTACCATAACCACCATCCATGGTTAATTATGGTTTTCGATATTTAATAATGGAAAATAAAATATATAAAAAACAAAATAAATATGTATCATGCATGTGCCCACCTTACTGTACATAATTGATTATTGGAATTGATCGATACTAGGCTGGTCCTGAATGTTTTAATTGGATGTATGTCACGTACTCACGTTACTAAGTGAAAATGTGGAATATATTTAGATTTTATTCGATTAGCATAAATAGTGGTGAATTGGAACTCAATCTATTATTATGTACAGAATAACAATTTTGAAAGGTACGGAATAACACTATCGATATATGTTGTTATTCTCAAAATCTTATTTAGTCGGTTAGCAAAGTGAGCACAATTTGGTTTCTGTAATTCTATATTCCAGCTAAATAGATGTTCTTAAGAGGTTGTGTTCATGCTTTTGGTCCCGAAAACACTAGTAGTACTGAGGTTATACTTCTTTCGTTCTTTAATTCTTGCGCAACATTGTGATTTTTTCACTATTCACATACCTTACTTTGACCACGATTTTCTACTAATATACATAATCAAATTATTCTGTATAAAATGTTATTAAATTCCTATCAATGTGAATTTCCAAAATATCAAATTTTTATAATGTTTACTACTCTTTCCGTCCCATATTTATGTTCGTAGTTCGGTTTACGATGCTTGACTGACGATAAAGCAACTTGATCCCTGTTCACACTCAGATTATTTTTAGTAAATTAAATTTACATATTCAGAAACTACATTAAATCCGCTACAAAGTCTGATCAAGAAAATTTAAGTTTGATAAAAATTTGATATATAAAGTAAAAGATTGAGAGTAATTTGAGTTGACCATGTGAATAGTAACTATGAAGAAAATATGGGATGGAGGGAGTAATATATAATTAAATATAATTACAGTCAAAGTTGTGTGTTGTCAAACGTGAAAGTCAAACTGTTACAAGAATTAAAGAACGGAGGATAGTATAATGTTATCTCCACTTCTAATTTGATTCAATAGTCTTAGTTTTGAGATGAATGTTTAAACTTGGATGCCAGATGAATCGATAGGAAGAAACATCGTTGTGTTAAATAAGAAAAATACATACATTACTGATGGAGTATATGGTGCGGGAACCCCCGGCCCACAGACTCCTACTACTCCAATAAAGGCCCAATAGGCTCAGAAAGCACAACAGGCCCAAATCACAGCGCCCAGAGTACCAAACAGCCCACAATGCACACACCAGGGGTGCCTTCGGCCCCTGGTCGAAGGCTCTAATTCTCACAGGAGGGTCAAAACAGGAAAACAAGGTTACTGGGAAGAACGGCGAAAATCAGTAGCCCTCGGCACCTGGAGCCCTCGGCACTAAGGGGGTCCTCGGTACTCAGAGCCCTCGGCTAGTCCTCTACAGCCGAGGGCACCTTTTCCAACATGATATCCGCTCCACATGCGTATAGATCACCGTACCAAGTACGACGTCACATCCAACAGCCGCATTTAATGCGGCCACATGCGGTTGCCAACGCCAGCCAGTTGAGGTGACCCCTCGGCCAATGGACGTTTGACACGTGTCCCTATCTGGCATTTATTGCTACTATAAATAGCACCTCATTTCCCCATTTGTAACCAAGTCACAAGACACAACACGCTGAATACTTGCTAATATACTTTCTCTCTCTATACTCACTTGCTCTGACTTCTCTCTAGTTATTCCCCGTAATAACCTCTCGGATAAGCTACCCCCGGGTACAATATCCATCATTTGGTGCTCTCGTTGAGAGGTCGAACAATCAAGTAAGAAACCCTCCCCCTCGACCAAACACAAAACACCTAGTTAAAATGGTGAGAACAACTCGTGCCAACTCCAAGAATGTGGAGGACAGGAACCTGGCCCTCGGCGAGGTCGACGTCCCCGAAGCCTCTAACAGGGCTCCTGGGGGCGGCGTCATCGCCGGATTGGACCAGACGGTTGTCGACCTACGCCAGCAGATTCAACAAAATGCCCCCGATGCCCGCCTCGGCATCGAGGCCAAGAAGAAGGACCGGAGCGAGAATCAAATTAGCCCTCCGGTCATCACAATCGACGTGCAATCGACGCTCTCCGCCTTCATCGAGACGCTCACCCAGAACCCGAGTGCCTTCGGCACTTTGGTTCCCCACCAACCTCAGGTCGGGGAGAATATTATGCCTCCCCCTCATCCACGACCCCTCGGTAACCCGGTCCTTCGGATGGGGAACTCCGAGGGGGTCGTGGCCCAAGATACGGCCTCCCAGGAAGTCCAATCCCGGGACCGCCATAACGTAAACAAGGAACAACTCCGGCCCTCCTCCCTCGAGAGACTCGGAGGGGCGCAAGCCCGCCGAGGGGTCCAAGACCGCCTCGGGGGGAGGCGTTCCAGAGGCCTCAGGAAAGTGGTGGGTCTGTCTCCAGGGCCAACGAAAGGCGCCCCCTCAGGACAAGGGCAAGGCACCTCTCCATGCCAACAACGCACACCACCAAATCAACCAGGCTCACTCGGCCTGGGTCCATTCGCGGGGGGCGGAGGCCCTCCCGAAGGACCCCCGAGACGAAATCATTGCGGCCCTCCAGCGCTGGCTTGACGAGATGGAGGCCACCAAAGCCCAAGCCACCACTTATGCCCCTCATACAGACCTTAAGTATGAGGCGATGATGGCCAAGATGGAAGAAATGCAGAAGAAGATAGCCGAGGGCTCTGGGGAACCCACCATACAGCTCCGGACCCGGACGCCGTTTACCCCAAGGGTATTGGCGGCCCGGATCCTGGAAAAATACCGAGGGCAGCTCATCAAGCCCTACGACGGAAAGACTGACCCCCAAGAGCACTACAGCAGGTATCAAAACAGTATCATGATGGTGGGGGCATCGAATGAATATTTGTGCCGCTGGTTCCTCTCCACCTTAGAGGGGCCGGCGTACGAATGGTTCAATCGATTGCCCGAGGGCTGCTTTGACTCATGGCAAGAACTCGCCCAGCGATTCTTGACGCAATTTGCGGGAAGGCGCCGCACGAGAAAACACTTCTCCCACTTGCTAACAGTGAGGCAGAAGAAGGAGGAAACCCTTCGGGACTTCCTGGAGCGCTGGAGAACGGAGGCTGATAAAGTTGATGGTGCTGACGACGGGACCCTCTTGGCCCTCCTCCAAACGGTACTCCGCCCCGGGAACTTCTCGAGGAGCCTCATCATCGAGCCTCCCCGCAATTATGTAAGGGCCCTACAGCGGGGGGACCGATACGCCGAAACCGAGGAGGTGGAGAAATGCCACCACGTACCGGACCAGCAGCGCCCTCGGCCGGATGACAAAGGTAACCGGGGGCCAGGGGCTCCCCGCAATCATCCCAAGGAATCTGCCCCCTCCGGTGATCGCCCCCGGCATGGCCAAGCCAAGCCCGGGGGAGGCTACAAGGGGAATCCGAGGGCTTGGGCACAACCTGTCCTCCTGGAGCATCCTCGGACACCTTTGACGCACCCCATCAGCGTCATTCTGGATTTTGCTGAGGAGAGGGGCCTAGTGGAGCGAGATTCACGCGCACCCCCGAAGGTATTTGCCATCAATCCCAACTACCCCTACTGTCGTTTCCACCGGCACCAGGGGCACAGGACCGATGACTGCCATCAGCTGAAGACGGCCATCGAAAGATTGATACAAGCGGGCCATCTGTCCCAGTTTGTCCATGGCCCTCAGCAACAGGGCCCCCCTCACCAAGGGCCTGCCCGAGGGCAGGCGGCGAGAGCAAATGCATGGGTCAACCCCAACACCATCCCCCTCGGCAAGAAGAGGGAGATTGGAAATCTGGAGGAAGAGGAGGAGGAGTACCCTCGGTACCAAGAAAAGAAACGCCACGTCCTCATGATCACGGGGGGAAATACCGGGGGTGATTCTACGAGTCAACGAAAGAAGTGGGCTCAATCACTTTACATGGGGGAAGTCACTCATATGCCCCCGGTAAAGCGGCTGAGGGAGGAACCCATTATCTTCACTAACGCTGATCCCCCCAGTATCCTCCCCACACAGGGATGCCCTCGTCATCCGGACAGAAATAAATGACACCATTATTCACAGAACTTACATTGACACGGGTAGCTCCGTCAATGTAATGTACCTCAGCACCTTCAGAGAGCTGCATCTGGAGAGGGGGTCCCTTCGGCCCATCAAGACCCCTCTTACCGGCTTCACCGGCGACACCATTGATTCCGAAGGGGTCATAACCCTCCCGGTAATCTTCGGCGACGGCCTCCATATAGCCAAGCTCGAAGTGGAGTTCGTCGTCGTCAACATCGACTGCGCCCAAAACATCATCCTCGGCCGGCCAGCCCTCGAGGACCTCGAAGTCGTCATCTCCATGAGGCACCTCTGCCTCAAATTCTCAGTTGAGGGGGGAATCGGTTACTCAAGGGGGAACCAAAAGCTTGCCCGCGCTTGCTACCTTCAAGTTACAAAGAAGGTTAGCAAGACGGAGTTCCGCGTTGACACCATCACCGAAACTGTGGAAGCGGAGGAAAAAAGGTCGAGGGCTGAACCAGCCGAGGAAGTAGAAGACTTCGCGCTCGATCCGGCCGGCCCGGAGAGAGTCGTGAAGATTGGATCCAAGCTCCCCGAAGACCTGAAGACCGGCATCATCAGCGCCCTCCGCGCCTACTCCATTGTTTTTGCATGGGGGCCGGAGGACATGCCGGGGATCAGCCGAAGGGTCATCACCCACCGCCTCTCGGTGGACCCTTCGGCCAAACCAATACAGCAGCGAAGGAGACCCCTCTCGGCCGAGAGGAGGGACTTTGTGAGGAAGGAGGTTGCCATGCTCCTCTCTATCAAGCACATCAAGGAGGTGAAGTACCCCTCATGGCTGGCAAACGTAGTCCTCGCACAGAAACCGCCCTCATTCTGCATGTGCGTGGACTACACGGATCTCAACAAGGCGTGTCCCATGGACCTCTTTCCTTTGCCGAATATTGATCAACTTGTAGATGAAACCGCGGAGTGTGAGATCATGTCATTTCTCGACGCATTCCGCGGGTATCATCAAATATACATGCATGAGGAAGACACTGAAAAAACAGCCTTCATGACTCGTGAAGGCATCTTCTGCTACCTTGTCATGGCCTTCGGCCTAAAGAACTCAGGTGCCACCTACACTCGGATGGTGGCCAAGGTATTCCAGGCT